ATTAGAGGCCACATCTTAGATGTAGCTGAGCTGGTAGTAGTAGACTTGAAGTAAACTGCTGACTGACAGCAGGATGTTCTATCATGGGTATCCCAGAACATAAGGGGAGCGGGCATGGCTATTTGAAAGAAAACAGACCTTCCCCCTATCCCCTCCCACACACAGCCACCAGTAACTGCTAATCAACTCTGCTAATCAACTTGGTCTCTATGCTGCTGTTCCATGGCCTTCTCCTGTTTCTCTAGGCAGAAATCTAAGTCCTTTGTTAAGCAGAGCTTAAGCCAAGTATGCAGCAATTAGTTTCTACTTTAAATTTTATTATAGTAAGTAGTTTTATCAATGCATTTAATTGAACTTTATCATTACGCTATAGAAGCAATCCGTGCTAGACATGTGTAACTGTTTGTCTAAATGCTACCGACCAGCATTTAAATATTTGAACATGAAATGTTCAAGTCAACATGGGTGGACTGAATGAAACTTTTGCTTTTATGTTTTCATTTTAGAGACTCTTGTATCAGGAAGTTCTCAAAAGGCAGCTCTTTAAATAGTTTGTATTATCATGGTCCCATGAAAGCTAGATAAAATTAGACTAAGACCAGCATAAATTTTGGTTCAAGGTCTTGAATAGCTTGAATTTATTTCTAGTTTACTCATTTTTTTATGATTCACATTACTGTTAGAACACAGAATGAAAACAAATTTTTTACCCTTTTCCATTTGGAAACTTAGCAAGTACCAACTGTTTCAAAAAAAGTAGTCAAATGTAACATTTCTCAGTAGTAAAGTAGTTACCAGGTATCATCCAACAGGCTCTAATTTCAAGTCACCTACACCTCCTTTTTTCTACATTTATCTGCCCTCAAGTAGCATGAAGCAACTAAACTAAACTAATTTAAAGATTATTTTCTTTCTTATAAAATGAAAATCCTTATTCCATAAACCCTAGTACTTTCATGTGTGAATCAGAAGGGTGCACTACCAGGTCAGGCAAAACATAATTGAACAATAAATTTAATCATTCATTAAAAATTGGAATGCGACATCTATATTTAAACAACTTTATTAACATAGTCAAGCAGTGTTTAACATTCACATCTATTATGTCACATCATACAAATGTAAATACAAAATTACTACAGTACAATATATATTCTCTGCATGATCCAAAATATTTGGTGGCCCCAAAAACTCTTTAAAATTCAGCAGCTTATCAAAAATTAAAACCATATTCTATTTAAAATGAAGTTCTGTTAGCACATAGGCAGACTTCAAGAAATATCACTCAATTTAGTACAGTTTGAGAGGTTGCAGGAGGATATGTTTGAAGGAAACATTCCAACATTGTGGCAGATACAGAAACATCAGATTTAAAGCTTTCAAGCAAAACTTATACAACCTAAGTTGTCAGCAGAAAGATCCAATCATCTTTCATTTAAAACTATACTGTGTACTTTATCCAATTTAAAATTTTAGAAGTGTCTAGTATTATTAAGTCAATGTATAACACAATTACCTCTCTTTCCATGAAAAATAATACACTGCAGATTTCAACAGCCAAATAAATCGTCTTATACCAAACTCTTTTTTTCTCATTGCTGTCCTCCCAAAAAGCACACAAGCCTTCTTATTTAGTTGCTCACGCAAATTAAGGAAAGAGATACCTAAACCAGAAGTAGTATAACAGAACTAGTTTATAGGAAAAAATATACTATACTGTAAGTGCTGAATTCTTTCAGATGTGAATTTGGCTTACTTAAAGCATACTGTAACACCACACAGGGATTTGTCTGATAGAGCCATTTCAAACTTCCCTCATGTAAGTACATTCAAGTGAGTGAGTATCACTATTTTAGCAGAATATACAAGGCAAGCAAAGTACTTGCCTCAGTTCCCCATTTAAAATAATAAACTAAAACTGGCTTGCTCCACCCATTTAGTGCAAAGAGCAAGAATCAGTGACAGACAAAACCCAGTTTCTATTGGAGAAGAATACCTAGAAGACTGATGGATGCAAGTCATCCTGGAGAATGCATAGGTGAGTGAAATACACAGCTACTGATCAAGCTTTATTTATTCAAGGTGAGGTTATGTAATATATAACAAATACGTGTGCAAACTACATCAGCATCTATCTGAGAGGTGCAGGATGTTCTGCCATTTCATTGTAGAGCTTAATCTTTATCTAAGATAAAAAGTCACTCTTTAGACCCTATATAAAAGCTTTATGCATTTGTCATCCTCAGGAAAGAGATAGTATGGAAGCAGTTAGTGTTATTTCTTTCCTTGACAAAATCTGAAACAAAAGATTTCCAATTAATTGTTGCATTTAAAGCATTTTTTTTAAAGAAATATTTCAGTTGTTTGAATATGGATGCATTCTCCTCAAGGGAAGAATGTTTTTGCACCTTGTCTGTTAATACATTCAATATGAATAATATAGGTGAAGCAAAAGTAATTATTGTCCCACAGTAGGTTAATTTAGAGTAAGTTTAAGACAAGAGGAGCTGCCTAAATGAAATACGTAAACTGATAAAATTATGACACATTTTTATTACCATGTGTTCTGAACAAAAAGGGTACAAGAGTATTCACCTGAGATAAAGCTAGTATTTGAATATTTCTAAGTAGCAATGAGTTTTGCTTGAGGAAAGCCACTTGAATTTTTAAAATACACATTTTACTATTATACAATATATGCAGTTTAAGTAATTAAGATTGATGCTAACATAAAAGTTCTAATGAAAAAAAATCACAGTGTGTATCAACATTGTTAATTACAAAATTTATGCTACTTCATAACTTTTAAAAATTATCATGATTACAAATTTTAACCTATTCTTCTAAAAGTGACCTTTTGAGTACAAGCTTCAAGGAGCAATAAACCAAAGTGTAAGAATTAGCTTCTTACAATTTAAATATATACATATTCACTGATTTAGAAAATAATCAAGCTTTGGAAAAAAAATACAAAATTGATTATTCTTGCTTGCACTGGTTAAAATAATGAACTAGCCTAATCTTTTTTCCTATATGAAATGAGTGGTTTCCTGAACGTGTTATGAAACAATATTGAACTTCATTTAAGACTAATTTAATAGCAATTTAGAACTGCCAAAAAGATGCAATTATAAGGATTTTAAATACACTTTCTGTTACCAACTTAGGTTGATCAGCAGCTTTTGTTCACTCTCAGAATCCTTCAAAAAGGGAAACTCAAAATAGGAAAAAGGCATATATAAAAACAGTAAACACTGACCTCCTGAGGTTCCTACAACAAAAATATTCAAGTAGAAAATCTACACCATTACTTAGCAGCGGCTATTTCTGTAGTTTAGCACACTAACAGCACTTTTTTCAGTGTGTAAGGAGCAAATGAAGTAAGCCGTGCTTTTAGCATGCCAAGAGGCAGAAACACTGGAATGTAACAAAGACAAACTCACAATTCTACCAGTATAGACATTCAGTCAACATTCAAGAACTGTCAAGACTACACCACAAGAATTAAGATGCTTTTTGTATATCCCATGATGCAATAGTTCAATTTTAAATATTAATGCTGTTTTTAAGAACTTTTCTTACCTAACATTACACCCTAAATGGCTTCTGCAAATCTTTGTACTTTATTATGCATTAGGAATATGGTTTATTTGCTTTAAAATATACCACAGGAACTTACTGATACAAAAGACTATTTTGTCAGTACTGTTTATTTCTGCCCTAATTAATTTTTTTCCTTGCTGTCATATCAGATCATTTCACATCTGTACAAATACCTATTAAAACATGTATGCACAAAAGTGGCTTTCTAAGCCAATCCAAGGTGAGGTGGAGTGGTTTTATTTGGTTAAAGGGGCTTTCTGAAATTGAAGAAGTTTAGTTAAAGTCAGATTCTAACTGTTATGCTACCATATTATTCAGGTAGGTTTTCTATTCTACAAACTCTTTAATGTCATTTTTCTGAAACTCTTCCTTAAAGTTCAAACACATTTCACACTAAAGCAAATTTGGCTCTAAAATAACATCCCACCTTGCTAAAGGCTGGGGGTTTTTTTCCCTTTCAAAATTTGGTTTTAAAGTGTTTTTTAGTGGCTAGTAACTAATTTACTTCAGAGTTATTAACTGAGAAGGAATTTTGTGTTTGCTACCAGAGTAATGTAATTTGAAAGCAAGCTATCACATGCAATTTTGATCAAATTGAATAAATACTATGTACTGGCATTATCGAATGCATTTCATACAGTACATGTCCAAACTATTCTTCAGGCATAATCCATTTAAATTTGCAAAGCCGAAAAAAAAAAGTGTGTGGGGGGGACATAAAACATGCATGTGATCATGCATTAAAAAAATAATCTAAGCTGTTTAAACAGCGTTTTTACACACTCACACAGCTCAGACTTCAGTGCAATGGCTAAATCATTCAACAGTCAAAAAACAGAACCATGCAAAAAAGAGCAAGTTCTTAAAAAAAAAAACAAAAAAAAAACCAAAAAACCACACACACACACACAAAAAAAACCAACCAAACAAACAAAAAAACCGCCACAAAAAAACACAACAAAAAAACCCAACAAAAAATCCCCAAACAAACAAAAAAAGAAAGAAAACACACACACACACACACACACACACTCACACAAAAAAAAAAGGGGGGGGGAAACCCAAAAACAAACAAACAAAAAAAACCCAAACCCAAAAACTTGTTATCCAGTATCAATTCTGCGATGCAAAGGTGAGAAACTAAATCTACAAAAAGGCTGTTATGGCTTAATTTTGTTTTGCAGATTAATAATGCAGCACTTGAAAAATGGAAAGGTGTGGCTTCACCTCTGACCAGCAGAGTTAAAAATCTCTCCATTTTCCTTTATCATCATGGGATACTCTTTAGGCAATTTAAATTATTAAAGACTTGTCACTTTCAGATGGACACAAGATCAAGTGTACCAGTTAGGATTTCACATTCACAGTACATAAGAAAATACACATGGAAGGAAAAGTAAAGGGTTAACTTAACAAGGATTTATTCACAGGAATACATGTAAGTAGAGAAAAAAAAACACAACAGAAAAGCTAAACAAATGAAATGAAGAGGATCCAAACCAACTTTCACTCTCTAGCTTTAAACTTGCACCCTTGTGCATTTAACTATATCACAAAGGGCCACCAACATGCGCCGATACAGTGTAGATACCCTGCATTACATCCATTAACTTAAACATCTCTTTTAAGATCATGCTTTGAACAAAAAGAAAGTGTAGAAGGTAATACGTTGAGTGGGAATAAACACAAATGTAGCAATCTTGTCATCAACTTCTACAACTGTCTTTACGTGCCAACTAACATTTATGCAGCCTTTAACGGGTCTTACCATGTAATTCATTTTAGAGATTCTGATAAAATCACTAGGATATAACCATGCAGAAAGCACATCACACTGACAGCACAGAGGCAAATATTTTGCACAGCTATATCAGCTTTCCACATTGTGCAGGTTACACACAATACAATATCAATCTTATTCTTAACAGATCCTAAAAAGGTATTTCAAGGCCTAATTTAAAGTTAACTACAGTACTTTATATCTATATTCTTAATAAAAATAAATTCCACAGAATCTTAAAAAGGAATTTTAAATGCAGGGCTATATTGAATTGGTAAACTGCAACACAAAACTGGCGCAACATAGGTAAATGTATACCAATTTCACTCTATGTGATGCAAGCATGCTACTTTCCCACTAATTAAAATTACTTCTGATCACTATGAGCCAGAAAGCATGCCTGAACCTTAAACTGCAAGTTAAGAATAATGCCTTACTCTAAAAATTAAAGCTAGAAAAGTACAATAATAAAATCATATCCACTACCTTGGTTGTTTTCCTTAATGTAAAAATTAAGATGTCAATCTTTCCTTTGCAGTGTCCTTCCTGTTACCCCAAAAAATGAAAGGAGTGACTTATTTGGCAGCTTGCAATTACTTCATTTTGTCCAAGTTAACCTTTATTATTTTGCGATGGGGTTTCTATGCTGTACACTGCAAGTGCCTGTTTCTAATACAGACACAAGCTGCATTTTAACTGTACTAACTTCGTTTTCGTAGTTCATTAACATGCAAATACCTAGTAATCCCCTCAAGCAGGATGAAATAATGTAGAAAACCCTTACTTAAAAAAACAGAAAACAAAAAAGAAAGCCTTTTACTGTTTGTGACCCCCATTCTTAGGTTTCCTTTATTGTGCGCAAAATATTTTTCCTCTTTACGTATCCCTATGGTTCAATTATATGGTTTCTTATTTTGGTACAAATCCCCACAATATTCCAGAATGTGCTGTTTTGTGACTAGATTCTTTTTTTTTCTTCTTCACATCCAGTGCAGAGGTGTAATAGGAGACAGATTTCCACCCACAAAGGCTCCAGATGTTAAAACATTTCCCAACATCGACTTAATACAGTGACGGCAACACCTCCCTCCCGCCCCTCCCAGTAGGGTTGGGATTGTACTGTATTCCCTACTGGTTTACCCTTCCCCCCAGTAAAGGGTAACATTTTCCCTGGGTGCAGAGGCTCCCTCATAGTCTCCCAGACTGAAGGACCTGTAAAAGGAAAAGATAAAGGTATAATTAAATCTTACCTTGACCCTTTGACAGACAGGTGCATAAACAAAGAGCCTTTTTTAAGCACTAAACGCCAACTGTTAACTTAAAAATTAATTTATGCCTAGATTTTCCCTTTTAAGTCTGTTAAGAAAGCAGCCCATTTACGTAAGATAAATTTTTATGCATGAAACAACAATGTATGCTTTTAAGCTATGTTGACAGTTCCACTACTGTGCTAAACTTAGATTTGAGATAAAAGCAATCCAATGTATTTTAACCAGCTTTTCATTTTTTTAGCACAAAATTATGAGGTAGTTATGATATTGAGAAAGAATATTAAACACATCTGCTACTGACCTAACAGCTTCCCTTTCAGGTAGATTAAACAAGATAGTTTCTCAGTTCAAACTGAGAATAATAGTGGATTTTATCACTTTGGTTTCCTTTCCAATAGGAGGAGAAAACACCCTCACTGATAATAAATTTGTAAATGTTTGAAATTGGTTTATTTTTAATCCACTGTTTGAATCAAACATGTAATTCAAACAGAATTTCTTATGTCAGTGACTGAAAAAGCTTAGGCTGACTTCTAAATAGTTATCCATTCCAAAAATGCTGCATGACTTACCCCCATAATTTCAGTGCAAAAATTCTACCAGAAGTATCAAATAGTTATATAAAGACTAAATGAATCAACTTAATTCACCCTCTTTTTTTGGGTAATAAAATAATCTCTTTCCAGTATCCCACTACTTTACACATGGGAAATTTGCTTAATACATTATGCACAGACAGCATACAAAGCATGGTGGTACAATTATACAGCTATTCTAAAACACACTTTCACTGTTCTTTGTTGAAACTGAATCGTTCTCTAGAGAGAACTGTCTAACAATTTTGAACTGGTGCACAAAACTGGAACATGGCAATAATAAACACATCAGCCTACCCAATACATCTCGCTTTACAGTTACAGTAGTTACACATTAGCATAATATCCTTTATTCAGCGCAGAGCATTTAGGATGTAGTTCAGAGTATACTGGACTTCTCACAGCTCCAGTGCGTTATCAAACTTGCTTTCTGTCCTAGAGGAATATTCCTGCTTAGACTACATCTGCCACCTCTTAATTCATAACATGTAAGGGAGCCTGTATCTTTAGTATGATAACTTCAGGATCATATTCATCACTTTGATTATTAAACTTGAACCAGCACTTTGTTATACTGACACTTCCAGCTTTATCTCAATAAACTAATATGTGTATGATACACTCACTTTTTCTTTCTTTGTCTCTCTGTGACAATAAAAAAAGTCAGACAGCTGCTTTTGGTACAGCCTCCATTAGTTAGGTAGCTATCATACCTTCTTTTTTTCCTCTATATAGGAAAGAAAGGTATCTCCTCTGGTGTATCTGAACAATTCTAGACTGATGAATTAATTATATTTCATATATTGCAAACAAGGTGGAAGTTGGCTATACAGATCTGTTTACCAAGAAAGATTTCTGTGCTTACCTCTAATTATGGGACTGCAGCTACAGTGCATGAGGTTAAACTCCATAGTAAGCTGCAAGGCGCTCTTTTAAGGGAAGGGGAAACTGGTCAGAGAAACGTCTCCAATTTTCATCCCCAACTTGATTTTTAAATCCATGAAGAATCTACAAATGAGAGGGGAGAAGTCAAGATAAGCACTGAGGATATATTATTTACTAGCCTCATATGCAGTAAGCCACAAACTGCTGAGTTGTACATCTGGCAATCTGAATTCATACTGAAATGCTAATAAGAAAAAAAGGAAGCACTGTCTTTCTTAATGTGTTTTTTCTTTTAAAGGTGACATACAGAATATAGCTACCCCCACAAACTAGTGTGTATACCTATTTTTAAGTATTTTAATGGGTAACATAGAGTTAGGCCATTTCGGAATGTCTTTATAATTTTTTCAATACATCATTCAGCCAGTCAGTCAGTCACTCGATTGACATAGATCATACATGTTTAGACTACTGTGTTCACATTTCTTTTTTAAATATGTAGTATGTTATGGAAAGAAATCTGAGCCAAAACTACAGCCAACACTGACAGAATGAATATCTGTGAATATCTGTCCATTTCTAGCACAAAAATAAAACCTGTGAGAGCTCTGTTTTTTGCATGGAACCTGTAAGACAACTGTCACTAAAAAGGAAGCTCTTGAAATCTTTTTTGTTTTGCAAGTACAGGAATCCACACTCAATGGTAATCAAAAGCCAGTGAAAGATGAAAAACAATAACCTACAAGTTTCAGTCTAGACCTTCTGATGTAATAAATTAACTGAAAACCATTTAATTAAATTATACTATCTGAAAGGTCTTAGTATGTCAGCTCTTAAAGCAGCAAGTAAAAGGTGAACATTAGAAAGGACAGAAGCAGATGAAATTGTTTTTCCTCATAAAAAATTATGCAAAGAGAGTGTAAAGTTTTGATTTTCTGTTTTACATTCAGTGATATTGAGTTGTGGAACAGTCTGCCTGAACACATTCTTACAGAAACTGCAATGTCAAAGGTATGTGCTAATGACATTACAGTGCAATCAGTTAACTTACTGCTTTTCTCCCTTCTACAAGCAGGTTCACGAGTCACATTAGGCAGCTGCCAAGCAACTACTGAAAATCTAAGAATGCTCAGGTATGACAAAAGTTTATGTGTCAGATTTCAATACTGGTGGCTCATCTATCCATGCTCTTGACAGTGGTATTTTTCTCCCAGTTCCAGTGGTGAAGAATAACACAAAAAAAGAAACACCGGACAATCAAGTTTCTTTCCATTGTTCCTGAAAGTCATAATTATTGTTGGAAAAACATCTAACTCAACTACAGCACTCAAGTATTCATGAAGAAGTAATCTAAAACCCCTGAATGACATCACTGAAGAAAGCTTTGTCTCCTTTCCTGCAAGGCAAAAAGCACAGAAATACATTAAAATAGCTTGTTTTAAGAAGTCAAGTGATCAAGAACCACTGTGTCTAGTTTGAATGCCGTGGGTCCTACATGGATAACTTGGAAAGAATCTGAAAAAGAGGAGCCTAACTTACTGCATCAAGTATTCGATGCTGAAGGACTGGTACAGAAACACACACTGAGAATGCTTTGGGCAATCATCATAGGCTGTATCCTGGACTTCCTTTTCACTTGTATTTGATGTCTCCTTCTGCTGATGCATTTTCTAGATTTAATGTTCCTTGGAAGGAGATCAGTTATCTGAGAGGCTAAGACAGTGAGATTTCTGTCTCTGCTCTTAAAGATGGGATAGAAAAGTTCTAGCTTCTGTTTTCACGCTCACACGTGGCATTAATTGAAGAAGTGCCAATATTGACCCATGATCCTAGTAAGTACTTAGGAATATGCTCCATTTTTTCTATAAGAGTATCATGAACTTCAAGAGTATCATGAACTTCTCTTTTGACACAGAACTTCCTAAAAATCGAGATTTCACTTAAGAACTTGTGAAAGGAATGACTTTTTTTTTAATCTCTCTTTTTTTTAATGTAAGACATTAGTGTGAAAATACAATATATCACATTCTGGTGGTGGTGGTCTTGTAGTTTAGGGGGGAGGGGGTTGCTTTACTTTTTGGTTTGTGAATTCATTTTTTTGTTTTGAGGGTTTTTTTCCTTATTAAATACAAGGAAAACAGTTATTTTGCTCAAATTCTGTTGACATTTTGTCAATAGGGATGCATTCTTGGGTATAACTGTATGTTAGTTTCTTAAAACTTGCTCACCTAAGAGGGATTCTGAGGAGGATTAAGCAATCCCTTATTTTCAGCAAAATTAGGAGCATCATATAGAATACCATTTGGATATTTTTAATTCAAAATTTTCTGGATATTTCTTCAAAATAAAGTCGGCTTCTTTGTGTCAAAAAGTAGTCTTGAACAAAAAAATCTCATTTTCTAGCAAAAGAAGGTCTTAAATGTAATTTAAGAACCCCTTGGTCTTTCAAACACAGGACATTATGAAAAGCTGTTTTGAGGATGATTCCCCCTTCAAATAACATCTCAACTGAACTTCTCCATTTTAAAGAAGTTTGGAATAACCCAAATGCATATAAGAAAATACAGGCTAAAAAAAAATATTCAGGATTTTCATGTTGTTTTGTCTGTAAATTTATGACCTTGCATGACCACAGGGAGTAGAGAAACCTCCATGACCACAAACACAGTAAATGCAAAAAACAAACCAGAGGATGCAAAACAACCACCATTAGAATATACTGTTATATTAGAAACCTTACCTTACAGAACATGTCTCGAAGATCATCTTTTGGACTAATCCATGATGCAACAGCATCACAAAAAAAAATAAAGTCCTATAAGATTAAACAATCACATAGGTTAGCAACCTCAATTTACACATCTGAAAACAATGTTTGATGTTTATTCTGTGAACTGTACACGGTTTTGATCCCAATTCACAACTGCTTTTGCTTTTATCTATTTATTTTCCACTGAATTCAGACAATGCTACGTTCTTGTATGCGTAAGTGTTCAGAAATAGAAATTGCTGAGTGTCTTAATCAAAACCACAGTTAAAACCCCCAACCTCCCCTCCTACACCACACTACCCTAACATTATTTCTTTCAGTACACATACAAATGCAAGAACTAATCACCTTAGTAAGAAGGAACAAATGCACACTCACACATTCCCAGCTAGGGAAAAAAGCTGTCATATTTCTTTAAGTAGGGCCAGAAGTTTTATTCTGGGACACACAGAGTATTCATCATACAGGTTCAAAACTAAAGCCACCCCAAAATCCCTATACTTATTTCATCTGCTGTCATGCATTACCTCCTCCTACACCAGCAAAACATCAGTCTTTAATATTTATTAACAATGCACATGATTTCAGTAGGAATTGAGGATATCCAGAGAGGAGAGATGGGCTAATAAAATGTGTCCTGAATTATTCCTTCCCCTTAAGCTACATGAATGAACAAAGAGACAGCAGAAGAGTGAAATGTTAAGTACAGAATAAGGCATTAGTGAAATGAACTGAAATTTTCAAAACAACATACAGGCTCAATTCTTGTGTTTCAGGAAGAAGAGCTCCAGGGAGAGGAGAGGAAAAAATCAATGTCATTTTCCTATTAGAAAATATTACATTGATCCAGCTTTACTTTAGAGGTGTGGAGACTAAATATCAAGTCATATTGTGTTCTTCCGTTGTACTATTTAATTTAAACATATGCATGTTCATTGTCACATTGACTACTTAGTGTTATATCCAAAGCTGAACAGAATCTTCTCTACCCAAGTTTTAAGAATGATTACTGTTTTTTTCTGTTTCTTGTTTTAAAAGCCTAGCTTGCATCTAGAAAATAGGTTTCAGAATGTAAACTTTTACCTTATATTTGCATAGAGATCCTGACACAACCTGACAGAACTATCAAAATACAGTTATTTTAATCGAAGTTCATTATTTATATATTCATTGCAAGGAAAAGATAAAAAACTGATTTTGACAATACTCTCCTTCTTTCTTTTTCAGATAATAATCACTGAAGCATCGTGATACATATCATTCACAATATGAACATTTTAGCCTCCTTGACCTCAAAACAAAGCTACATCATGTACTGCAGGGAATTACAAAGTAAACTTTTTCATACTCCATACAAAGCTGTCATTAAATTTCACATGGGTAAAGAAGTTGGTATCTATTAATGTATCTTACTTGGACTACTCCACTGGGGTTGACCGTAATCATGGTACATATGCCACGGAACGCTGAATCCTTTTCCTCATTGTCTCTTATGTTTCTCAGAGAGGTGCACCTAACAATTTGGAGAGCAGAACTTAGCTAACTCTATTACTTTTCTACAATCAAGTCAGAACTAGATGACAGTATCTGATGGA